CTCCTCCTCCTCCTCGCCTGGCCCGAGGACGCCCTCAGGCTCGGCGGCCGCCTCCTCTATAGCTTCCTCCTCGGCCTCTTCGTCTTCTCCGTTCTCGTCTTCCTCCCCCTCCTCCTCTTCGCCTTCTTCGTCCTCGTCCTGCTCCTCATCCTCCTCGTCCTCCTCGTCTTCCTCGTCCTCGCTGCCTTTTGTTTTCTTTTTCTTCATTGGCGTCGGCGTGGCCTTCTGCTTCGCTGTCTTAGGCGTGGGTTTAGCTTTCGCCTTGCCTTTGGCTATTGCTGCAGCAGGCCGCTTCATTTTCGGCGCTGGGTGTGCTGTGTCGAACGCCAGCCGCGCTGGCGTTGCTACAGGGGCGGCCGCCGTCGTCTTTTTCTTGCTTACCTTATCAGTTTTCTTTTTCTTACCCTTATCCTTTTTGTGCTTCTTCCTTTTCTTCTTCTCGCCCCACGACGAGACAAGCCAGGCCGGCGCAGCCGCGCTCGGTGCCGAAGGCACGTGCTCATCCTGGCAACGGCCACGGGCAAACAATCCTCATGCTCCTCAGCTTTCTTCCTCCTCTGAGTGTTCTGGCCGAGTTTCGGGACAGGTCCAGCCATGGCGACGTATACGTTGGCGTACGTCACGCACATGTCCCCCCAAAAACCTCATCCTCCCTGCATTCGTCCTCACTCCTCCTGTTCCTCCTCCGTCCTCCCGTCCTGCCTCCATTCTTCCTCCCTCCGTCCGTCCCTTCCCGCCCTCCTTCCCTCGCCTCCTCCTCCGTCGTCGCCCTCCCCGCTCCCCTCGACTTCATTCTGCCCTCCCCCTCCCCTGCAACAAGCTGGCCTCCGAGCTCTTGGTCTCCTCGCAGCCGCACGCCTGCTTCAAGATCATGGCCAGCTGCTCCTCGTCCACGTCCGAGTCGTCATCGTCGTCCGCCTGGAGATTGTTTTACCACCCTCTCGAACCCAACTCCTGCTCCTCATCATCCTCCAGTTCCTCCTCCCTCTCTCTCTCTCTCTCCCCGTCTCCCTCTCCCTCCTTCTCCCCCTCTCTCGCTATCTCTCTCTCTGTCTCTCTCTCTCTCTCTCTCTCTCTCTCTCTCTCTCTCTCCCCCCCCTGCGGTGTCCACACGCAGGGCCTTAACCCTTGTCAGAAACCAGCAGAAGCTGGTCCACCACGCCGCTCGACGACGAAGGACACGCACATACGTACATAACCACAAACATGCATACATATATACGGTTATGCATATTTACAACATGCATGCCCTACACACCCATATCTGTATACATGCCTGCATGTGTATATTGGATATATATATATATATATATATATATATATATGTGTACACATACACACATGAATGAATTACTGAATGAATGAATGAGTGCATGCATACCCAAAAGACTCGAACCACACTGCAGACCCTAACTATACACTGTTTCCCTGCATCGTGCCTCACATGCAAACGTGCAACGTTTGTATATGTATGCACATGCATGTGTTTGCCTGACTGTGTATGTACGTATACGTGTATGCATGCGTGAGTGTATGCATGCATGATATCATGGTATTGGGGTGTAGGATTCTACCGAACGCCTTTCCCCTTTCCCATGCCATGTCCTCTCCTGCCTCCCCTCCCCGTTTCGCCCTCCCGCCTTCTTCCCCCCCCTTAGTTCTACAAGCGGGGGATCCCTTGCAAAATCCCCCTTCCATCTGATCACCCTCTGCCACCCGAGCTCCTGCCCCCCCCCCCTCCCCCGTGAGAAGGATGACATCTTCAACCACACCTTCTCTTTGCCTCCGCCCTCCCCCCCCCCCCCTCCCCCCCGCCCCCCCCACCCCCCCCCTCCCCACCCACCCGCCCCCGCCACGCCCTCCGCCCTCCCCCCCCTCCTCCTCGCCCCTTCGGCGCCTGCGCCCCGCGAAGCTTGAGCGCGTGCGAGATCATCATCATCAGCTGGCGGCTCTGCAAGTGCCTGGGGGGCCGAAGGAGATTTGCGTTTAATCAGGTAGGCTACGTCACTATCTCAACTCTTCCTCCTAACCCCCCCTCGGTCCTGGACCTCATCGGCCCTCCTCGCGATCATCGACGCCGCCGTCGCCCTGCAAACGAACAATGCAAACTGTAATGTTAATCGACAAATCGAACAATGCAAACTGCAATGCGCATGCAAACCCGAGGCAACGGAACATCCAAACATGCAACATCGCAAATGCAATGCAATGCAACCGACATTTTCGAAACAAAACCATCAATACGTCGGAGGTCTGGAGCCAGGGGGGTCACCTCACCCCGTTCACACGCTTCTGGAGCGGCGCGCGGCCGTACTCGGCCTTGAATGCCTCGGTGTAGGCGCGCCGACACGACCCATCCCAAGCCGCCTCTGGGCGGCGAGGGGCGCCGCGGCAATGGGGAGACGGACGACGAATCGACGACAACGACGACAGGGAGGCGAGGCGAGGTGAGACACTCGCTCCAGACTCCTCCACTCCACACCATCCCTTGTATATCATCCCCATACTCATCACCCTCCTAGCTCTTCTTCCTCATCATCACCCTTCTCATCCTCCCCTCCCGCTCCGTACGATCGACTCGACAGCCGCATCTGGATCCTCCCTTGTGTCATCCCCAGCTCGCCTCAGGGAGGTTGGGCGAGACACTCGCTCCAAACTCCTCCACTCCACACCGTCCCTTGTATATCACCCCCATACTCATCACCCTCATAGCTCTTCTTCCTCATCATCACCCTCCTCATCCTCCCCTCCCGCTCCGTGCGATCGAATCGACAGCCGCATCTGGGTCCTCCCTTGTGTCACCCTCATCCTCGCCACCCTCTCATAGCCATTCTAAATCATTATCCTCATCCTCGTCCTCCTCATCATCCCTCTCCCCTCCCCATGTTCGAAACGTAATCTCATCAAGTCCTCATCGTACCCATCCTCAGCCTCTTCGTCATCGATCGTGCTCCTCCTTTTCTCTCTCATCACCCTCCTCCCCCCAACCCTCATCCTCGTCTCCCTCGCGGGGCAAGCGGTCCATCATCAGCTTCTGCGAGTGCCTCTTGTCGCCGCCCACCTCCAGGAGAGCGTCGACCACCAACTTGAAGACCTCGCTTCGCGAGGGGTCCCGTCGTCGTCGTCGCCGTCGACGGTCGCCGTCGTTCTGGTCGACGTCGTCGTCGACCTTTCCCTTGTCGTCGTCGCCGCCGCCGTCTTCGCCTTCATCGTCATCGTGGTCGGTCGGCATCGTCGTCGTCGTCCTCGTCGTCATCGGCGTCATTGTCGCCATCGTCGTCGTCGACGTTCGCGTCTCCTTAGTCGTCGTCGCCGTCGTCTTCGTCTTCGTCGTCTCGTCGTCGTGGCAGCGTCGTCGTCATCGTCGACGTTCTCGTCTCCTTAGTCGTCGACGTGGTCGTCGCCCTCCCCTCGTCATCGTCGTCGGGCCTCCAATTCCTTTCTCTTCGGGCGGCTGCCGAAGTCGGAGGCTGCGCACGCGTAGTCGGTCACGGTGCCTCGAATGCGGCACGGGCTAGGAAAGAGATCGGAGAGGACGAACAGGAAAGAAGCAGACACTCTAGGAGAGGAAATCTCAAGGACGTGTGTCAGCGAGGACCTCGCATCGAACACCGATCGGTCCTCTTCGCGCTCACCGCTCTCATCCTCCTCACCCTCCACCCCTGCCTCACATGATCATGGACGACAACATCATCGCCGTTATCCTCCCATTAATCATCACCACCCTCATCGCACTTCTAGCTCATCAGCTTCATCATCTTCATCCTCGTCCCCATCCCCCTTCTCATCACCCTCCTCTTCCTCCTCATCGTCATCCGAGTCATCCTCATCCGAGTCATCCTCATCACCCTCATCCGCTGCCTATGATCTTCGGCCACGACTTGTCGATCTTCCCCAGCAGCACCTGGGCTATAAAGGGGTGCCCTCGTTCCATCCTTCTCTGTGTACTCCTCCTCATCCTCACCTCCATCCTCCTCCTACTCCCTCTCCCCACCCTTCCCTCGCACCACCCCGTACTCCTCATCTTCCCTACCCTCGTCATCATCATCATCATCATCATCATCATCATCAGCAGCAGCATCAGCATCATCATCATCATCATCATCAGCATCAGCATCATCATCAGCATCAGCATCAGCATCATCATCATCAGCATCAGCATCATCATTATCAGCATTATTCATACCTTGGCACCTGCGACAGCGTGTCCTTGTCGACCTTGGCCGTGCCCTCATGGCGCGCCATGGGGCTTGTCATTGGCCCGATCTCCCCTTCCTCAGCCTCTCCTCCCATCTCCTCCCCCCCCATCGCCCCCCCTCTCCTCCGCTCCCCTTGAACTCGAACCTCTCCTCACCCAGCCCCCCCCCTCGGCAAGCGGCGCCGCCGGGGGCTGGGGCGGGGGGCGCGCGCGCGCGTGAGCCCCCTCGAGAGCGCGGAGGGCGAAGACGACGACGGAGGACGAACGTCGTCGTCTTCGATCGTCGTCGTCGTCGTCGTCGTCGTCGTCGGTCGTCGATCGCAGTCGTCTTGGACCCCTCGCCACGGCGTCGTCGTCGATCGTGCGATCGACGACGACGGCGATCGAGGGTGAGTGATCCAAGACGACGACGGTCGACGGTCGACGTCGACGAAGCCGACGTTCGAAGACGACGAAACCCCAGACCTCCAGACAGCCCTCAGGCGGCGCACCAACCACGACGATCGACGAAAGTGACGACGACGAATACGATGAACGACGAACGACCGACGACGACGATCACGATCGACGATCGAATCGACGATGTTGGAGGACGTCTCGACGCAGTTTCCTGGCTCGGGCGGTCGCGCTCGACCTGATCGCCTGCACTGCTGCAGCTTGGGCGGCCGAGGGAGGAGGAGGAGGAGGAGGAGGAGGAGGAGGAGGCGGAGGCTCGAGTGAGGTTGAGGATGATCGAAGAGGCTGGAGGGAGGTGAGGCGCCCGCTCTGATCAGGGCTCGCTGCCCTTGTCGATGGCCGCCTGCTATTCGCTGCTCCCGACGTCGATGGCCGCCTGCTCGTCGCTGCTGTCGCCGACGTCGATGGCTGTGCCCAGGACGCCTCGCCTCCAACGAGGCCTCCTGGCTCGTGGCGCCTGCACGGCGCTGCCGTCGTCGATGGCCGCCTGCTCGTTGCTGCCCGTGTTGCCGACGATGGCCGCCTGCTCGTCGCTGCCCGTGATGCCGTCGATTGCCGCCTGCTCGCCGCTGCCCGCGATGCCGTCGATGGCCGCCTGCTCGCTGCCCGTGCTGCCGTCGATGGCCGCCTGCTCGCTGCCCGTGATGCCGTCGATGGCCGCCTGCTCGCTGCCCGTGGTGCCGTCGATGGCCGCCTGCTCGCTGCCCGTGTTGCCGTCCGCCTGCTCTGCGCTGCCCGTGTTGCCGTCGACGATTGCCGCCTGCTCGCTGCCCGTGATGCCGACGTCGATGGCCGCCTGCTCTGCGCTGCACGTGGTGCCGTCGATGGCCGCCTGCTCTGCGCTGCCCGTGTCGACGATGGCCGCCTGCTCGCTGCCCGTGAGGCCGTCGACGTCGATGGCCGCCTGCTCTGCGCTGCCCGTGCACGCGTCGATGGCCGCCTGCTCTGCGCTGCCCGTGACGCCGTCGATGGCCGCCTGCTCTGCGCTGCCCGTGTCGTCGGTGGCCGCCTGCCCTGCGCCGCTCCGACGTGCACATCGTCTACGACTCGGCGAGAATGCGCGGCCAGATCTGGCCTGTCGCTCGGTATATAGGTACATCCACACGGACGGAACTACCCATTCTACATTGTCGGTGTCATGGATCCATGGATATGTCCAGCAATTTAATATCGGGTTCCAGACTGGCTCATGAGGCCGATCTTCGTCAGCATACTCGTAAAAAAGCGGCTGCATCTGAGCCTGAGCCGAAACCCCTACGGATGAAGGATGCATGTTCGTGGATGCCCCAGGTGGCGTGTCATATCTTTGGACGCACTAGTGCCAGGGGCAAGGGTGCTTAGCTGTTTTCTGTGTTCGGGGCAAGGATGCCAGAGTGCCCTGGGGATCTGTCTATATTGGCTCGAAGCAACGTGCATGCCTCCAGGTAAGGATGCTAGCCTCGCGGAGGCTGGGTTCGCGTGTGCACATTTTCAACAATCAAGACATATAACCAAAAAAACAATACATAAAACCAAAAATCAATACATGCAAAAAAATCAATACATCTGACAAATAATCAATACATCCACACACGGTTGAAACAAAAAAAAAAAACAATCACTCAATATCACTACGTTGGAGGCGTCTTGAAAAAAATCAACACTTTCGATGTCTGGGCAGCGCGCGGGCGGCATGCACAAACCACGAGGAGCGCGCGGGGGACAGGCGCGCACCGCTCGCGCATTCTGCGCCTGTACCTCGCGAGGCCCGCGTGCTAGGTCTGTCTTGGGGGAATGGCAGGGGCCGGCGCGTCGCCCTGCGCGCTCTCCTCGATGTCTTGCCTCCGCTTGTCGACTGGCCCCACGACGGGCGCGACGTCGTCGCCCTTCGCGCCCTTGCCCTCGAGGACGCGTCGTTCTGGCTGGCATTGACGTCACAGGTGGCGCGGTGCGTCGAAGGCGGAATTCATTGGCTTCGCAACGTTGCGCGCCGCGCCAGTCTCCTTCCAGGCCGCTTCTGCCGCGCATTTTAACCTCCCCGCCCTGCATGAGAAAGTAGCAGTGCGTCTCGACGCTGGGCCTGGGGCCGCAGTGGAGCTCGGCCGCGGCGCGCGCGCAATCGCCGTCAACGGAGGAACGGTGGACCACGAGCTGGCACAGGCACTACACCGGGTAGCTCGGTCTGCGGATGGTCCATGAGCAACGATCGTCGTGCGCTTGTCGGCTGGCGCCGGCACTGCGACGCAGTCGGCTCGCGGCTCGAGATCGGTCTGGGCATTGACCTGTGCGGGGTACCTCTCCCCGCCAGGTAGAAGCACATCTGCTGCGCGAAGAATCGAATGCGACCAAGCGGCTGCAAGTCGCACAGCTCATTGCGCGCAGCTCCTCGGGGTCCGCAAGTCGTGCACACGCCCTCCTTGTAGTCCCCGCTAGGAATGTAGGACGCGAGGGGCTTGTCCTGGAACCGCATAGCGCAACGCGTGGCCGCGCGCCCTATCTTGCTGATCCGGAAGCAGACGTCATCGGAATTGCTGTAGTCGTCGTGCTTGCGTTTCGGACTTATGTCAGACCGTGCATCCGCTGGTTGTCGGGCTCCGCAAGAAGGTCGCATATGCCAGCCCCCATGAACGTTGCGCCCTTCACGTCGCCTTTTTGTTTCACCACCTCGTGGGGGCAACACATCTGCGCCACTGCCTTCGCTGGCGGCGTCATCGCAGGCAGGTTCGAAGCTCGGCTGGCACCTCGTGCCATTCGTTGCCGGCGGGCCAGACAACTGTTGTCAAGCACTCGTGAGCGCGCACAGCGGCGTGCAGGCGCGAAGAGCATGCGGGCGCGCACGCTGCGCGAGTGCCCCGTGGTTGCGCCCCGTCGCCCCGTTTGATTAATTCCTGGAAGTCTAGGAAGTGGGTTGAGCAGGCATATGATAGCGAGGATGTCTCGCAACTGGGATCGCGTTCCACCGCTATCTTCCCTATGCGGCAAAACCTCGAAGGCACGCGCGTAGATGCTCTGCTCGTGGCAGCAGGCACGGCCCCGGTCGCGGCCACGGCGTCGCTGGCGGGCATGAGAGCCGCCCCCCGGGGCCGGCCCCTCCCCTGCAAGCGGCGCAGGTTGCTCCGCGCAGGGCCCGCGCTGCGCGCGGCGCCCCCTCGCAGCCTAGGCAGCTCAACGCGCCCCCCCGTCGCCGATTCGGGGCGGCTGGCCTCGCCGACCCGCGCGCCGGCGCAGCCTCAACACCGCCTCAGCGGCCCTCCGCCCCGCCGCGGCTGCGGCGGCGAGCGGCCGGGCCAGGCGCTCGCGGCTAGCGCGGAGGCCGCGGCCGCTTCCCGGGGGACTCCGCGCAGGCGGCGGACGACCAGCAAAAGCCCGGCGTCGTCGTCGATCCGATCTGTCCGGTCCAAATGACCCCGTCCGCGGACGATTCGCCATCCAGGTAGGCGGCGGCCTCCGCGTCGTCGGCCGCGTCGGCCCAAAACAGCCCGGGGCCCGCGCCACCCAGCGGGGCGTCCAGGTCGGGTGGCTCGGAGGCCCGCTCCGCGGCGGCGACGGCCGCGCGCGCCGCTGCCATCGCCGCGAGCACCGGCTCTCTGGCGCCCCGTCCCAGCAGCAGTCCCAGCGGCTCCAGGCCAGGCCCCCAAGCCCGCGCTGCTTGGGCCTCTTCCTCAGCGCGGGCGGCGGCCTCGGCAGCCGCAGCCTTGTCGCGCGCGTCTTCCAAAAGGCGCCTCGCAGCCTTGAGCGCCTCCTCCGGTGCTGTCTCCGCTCAGCCGCTGCCCGCTCCGCCGCCGTTCTCGGATTGCCGAGGCGGTTGCCAGAGCGGCGCTCTTCCTGCCGCTGCCGGGCGTCGCGCTCCTCCGCAAACGGGGGCTCGACGGCCTCGGCCGGCGCTCCAGCGCGCTGTGCGGCGGCGGCCGCTCGGCGCCAAGTTGCGACCTATGGGCCCCTAGGCGGGGGCCGTGGGCGCCCAACATGGGCGGCCACGCAGCGGCGCCGCCGGGGCCCGCTGGGGGGGGGGGCGGGCAGGTCGCTGCCGCTCCCGCGCGACCGTCGCCGCAGCGGCGGAAAGCAGTCCTGCTCTCGAACTTTGTTGTTCCGCACGCGCGGCGCCATTCAGCGCGCCGCGGCGGCGGCGGCGGCTGCCGCCGGGCCCCCCCGCTGCCGGCGAGGGTCGCCATCAAGTCCTTCGCCAACTGCTGGCTCGCCTTGCCCCCGCGCCCGCGGGCGCGCCAACATCCGCCAATGCCATGGCGCCATCGACGATTCCACCCCCGAAGGCTCTCGGCGGGCGGGCTGCGAGCGGGGAAGGGTGCCCAGATCATCCGATGCCCCAAGAATTCGGCAGCGCGAAACAAGAATCGATAATCAGTAGCGCGAAAAAATAATCGGTCGCTACCCAATCTCCCCCAGCGCTGGCTAGAATCGGTAGCGTTCGAATTGTCGATTTTGCAAGCGGATGTTCCAAAGAGATCTGTGGTCGTTACCCATTGTAGCTGTTCGGCGCTATCGACTTTCATTCTGGCTGTCTGAATGTCATGCAAACGTTTGTTAACGTGCACCAGACGTTTGTCAAACGTTTCTGTGTTGCGTGTCGCCACGCAGACCCTCAATCCCAAACTTGTGTCAAACGTTTGTGCCACTCTGGTGGTGCTTCACCACGGGTTCACAACAAACGTTTGCGAACATTTGTCAAACGTTTGTCGGCAGTCGGGCGCAAGCGAAAACACGGTTGATAAATGATTGCAAACGTTCGTCGGCAGTCGGGCGCAAGCAAACGCAAAGTCGACAAACGCTTGTTACACAAAAGACGCCGAAATGCGGTACCCAATTTACTTTGCGCGCTATCGAATTTCGCGCGCAGTCGATATCAAAATTTCGCCGAACGATTCCATCGACCAGCTGAACTGATCATCGATATCAAATGTCATGGCTCTGTCGGTCACGATCGAAGTACATCTTATCTCTCTACTCCAGATTTCGTAATAAAAGGGAGGGGGTCTGGACCCTCCAAGACAAGCCATTTCAGACCTCCCCCGTGGGAGAACCCTCCAAAACATCGTCCCCAGACCCCCCAGGCCCTCCAAGATAGCCTGGAAGAGACCCCCCCCGAAATGAGACCCCCCTCCCTTTATTACGAAATCTGGAGTAACCATTGTTTTTCGTATCGGAAGGTCTGGGTAGAGACAAAAGTAGTGCTAGAGCAGGGAGGCCCCTGGCCGGGCTGCCGAGGTCGGAGAGGCCTCGACCACTTCCTCCTCCTCCTCCTCCTCCTCCTCCTCCTGCTGCTGCTGGTCCTCCTCCTACTCCTCCTCCTCGTCCTCGTCCTCCTCCTGACCCAACGTCTCCTGCTCCTCCTGTTGCTGCTCCTCCTCCTCCTCCTCGTCCTCCTCGTCCTCCTCCTCCTCCGCCTCCTCCTTTTCCTCCTCCTCCCCCTCCTGCTCCTCCTCCCACCCCCCCTCCACAATTACTCAATATGAATACTACTCTCCCTCTTCCCCTGATGACGGCTTGAAAATGTTAGCCCCCCCCCCCCGCGTAGTGATTTTTTACACACAGGATTCCCCGGAGTTTTGTTTTCGCCTGCATTTTTTCCAAAATGCTGCTCTCGCTGAAGCGCCAGCCTCATTTTCGGGCCCCGCTCGTTCCGAATCGTGCTCCCGCTGCAGCGCTGGCCTCATTTCCGTGCTTCCGCTCGTTCCGAATCGTGCTCCTGCTGCAGCGCTGGCCTCATTTCCGCGCTTCCGCTCGTTCCGACTCGTGCTCCCGCTGCAGCGCTGGCGTCATTTCCCGTGCCATGCCACGGCATGCAATGCAATGCTAGGTTGATGCTACGCTTTGCGGTGCTCTTCTACGCCATGCCACGCCGTGCTCTACAATGCATCGCGTACCCTTCCGGGATCATTGTCCTGCTCGACATCCGACTGTGCGAGTACAGAGGGGATCTACGCCATGGTGAGGGATGGGAGGGAGGGGTAGGATGTCAAATATGACGCGAGCGCACCTAGCTTGTCCACCCCCCCTCTGCCCCTTCCCGCCGGCCTCTTCCTCCTCCTCCTCCTCCTCCTGCTCCTGCTCCTCCCCCCTCCCCCCCCTCCCATGCCGACCTCCTGTCCGACTCTCTCCCTGAGGCCCGCGTCCTCCGGGGTGACGGGGACGCGCAGCGGAGCGGGGGGGGCAGCCGAGCCTCCGCCCCGCGGAAGACGGCTCTCGGGCCCTGGCAGCATCAAAAAATGGCTTTGGGCGAAAAGGCTGGTCCTGGGGAAGGCCCCCACGGGGGTCTAGAACCCGCTTACCTCAGGAGCCCCCTATTCATGGCCGGAGGGACGTCGTACGATGACGCAGTGAGGTAGTGAACGACGACGATGGAGAGGACGAGGCGACTTAACGAAGGGTGGGCGGGAAGGAGAGAGAGAGAGAGGGGCAGAACACTGCAGCCCCGGCACTCCCTTCTAGTATTCTGCAATGGAGTTGCGCCAAACGACCCTCCTCTCCGACCAAGATCCGCCACCGTGCCTCTGGCATGAAATGGAATACACCAAGGCTCACAGCTGTGCTGCTGCTGCTGCAGCCAGGATTGTCGTTCCTAAGGGCCCGGATCCGCGGTTGTGCATGTCTTTTCAAGGTCTCTTAGGGCGTCTAGGGGGCGTCTTCGGGGCCTCTTAGGCAGTCTGGAAAGCGTCCTGGCAGTCTTGGAGCGTTCTTGGACCGTCTCGGAGGCCGCTTGGACCGTTTGGGGGGCGCCTTCAGGCCCGGCGAAGGACCCCCGAAAGCCCACCATGGGTCTCGGACGGCCTGGGAAAAAGTGGGCCACCGGGGGGGGGATCCTCGGAACGTGGGCCTCTCAGGAGGCCTCCCGAGGCCTCTTGGAGGTCTCTGAGGGGCCTCTCGGCCTTCAGAGGCCGTCTTGGGGCCCTCTAGGCAGTCGTGGGTCACTCTTGAGGCGCTTGAAGGCCATCTTGGAGGTCAGTGGGGCCGTCTTGGGGGCCTCTTGGACCGTCTTGGGACCCGCTTGGGCCGCCTTGGGGATCTCTTGGGCCGTCTTGCGGCGATCTTGGGGGCCTATGGGGCTGTCTTGCAATGTCGGAAGCTTCAAAAGGCGAGAACGCTAAAAAATCACACGAAGGCCGATGGAACATCAGTAGTGCTTGCCTCCTGGAGGTCCTCTTGGAACCCTCTCAAATTTTTGGGGCCTCTTGGGCAGTCTGGAGGACGTATTCGCCCATCTCTGTGGACACCTTGGAGGCCTCTTGGAGTGTTATGGAGCGGTCCCGGACCGAGGGGCCGGGAACAGCCGGGGGGGAGGGGGGCACCGAGGAGGGAAATCCTAGCCTGGCACCCCAGGCCTGGGATTTCTCATGTGGATACACGTCCTCTCTCTCTCTCTCTCGCGCGACTTCCCTTCCTCCGCAGATCGCTAGGCACCGCCCGTCTCGGCACCCCACGCGGTCGCCCCCCTCTTCCTCCTCGCCCTCTTCCTCCACCAGTTTGATCCATCCTCCTCGTCCTGCTCCTCGTCCTCGTCGTCCTCGTCCTCCTCCTCCTTTTCCCTTTCCTCCTCCTCCTCCGCCTCTTCCCTTTTCATCCCTTCGCCCTGGAGGCCTCTGTAAGGTGCCTCCCCATGGCGGTCATGCCGCCGAAGAGTATCGCCCCAGCCTCGGCCCCAGGCGATAGCATGCTCGGGACGGGTCCTCTCATCCTGCTCATTATGCCGCCTTTCTCTGCTCAGACATGAGGCGAGGGAACGCTGAGTCGGCGCGCACACATTGGAAGACACCCGCCATACACCAGCTTCGGGCCTGGCCAAGCCGATCCCAGGCTCCGTGTGAGGTGGTGTTGGCAAGGTACATTCAAGACAGGCCAGCAACGGTGTTGGACAGGATCTGAGCATGCAGCGCATTGGCGTCTAACGATCCTGCGGTGAGGGCCTGGTGAGTCTGTGGTCGCAGTGAGAAGTTCATGGATCGACACACGGTGAAGCTGCAGCAGCCATGCCAAGGAACTGCGACGAGAGGTAGGCGTCTCGGTAGACAGGAGCCGTGTATCAGCCTTGCACACCTGGCCTCTAATGGTGAACGCGCCGCGAAAGCAGGATTTGAAGCAGTGGTGCTGCAGCAGCAGGGCACAAAAGCAAGATGCGCGTGTGCCCCCCTGCTACTCCTGTGTCCTTCCGACAACCACACATGGCAACATGTCAAGCGGTACGCTATGGGGCACCACGGCGCGGACACGATCTGACGGCTCGCTCTGGCAAACGTACCCGCGCTGGTCTATCAGGGCCCGGCTTTGCCAAACATGCGCGCTCGCGCTGCACTCGCTCCTCCTCCTCCTCCTCCTCCTCCTCCTCCTCCTCCTCCTCCTCCTCCTCCGTGCGGACCGGGCGGACCAGCCAACCAACGATGCCTCGGCCACCGACGGCCCCGACAGGGACCCCCAGCCACGCTCAGAACTGACGGAAAGATTGCTCCGAGGCGCCCTCAACAACAGTCCGGCGGCGCAGACGACGCGCCTGGAGCGCCTGCTCCGAGGCGCGCGGCCGCGCGGAGATTGCGAGGTGGGGCTGCCCGAGTACATCCATATCCACCGCCTGCCGGACGCCCCCGAAGACGATTCCCCAGATTGAAGGGGCCCTGGGACACACACATAGATTCACACAAATAAAAAGACTCCCCATATTTTTTCCATATTTTCTGGGTTTTCGTCTTCCCACCCAGTTCCCATCTTTTCCCATATTTTCTGGGGAATCGACGATTAATTGTGTCTGTGTGTTTCTTTCCCTCCTGACAGATGGCGGTTATGAATTAGCTCCCGCCTCGGAAAAGGGGTCGGCTCAACACTTGAGAATGCTCTCTGGGCTCTATTGTCCTGCGGCGTCATCTTCACTGATTTCTGGCTCCGGGTCGACTTCCGAAGGCCCTGGGGCCCTTGCAGCTGCCTTGGGGTAGGCCACGAGTTCGTCCTGGGAGGCCGGGGGCAACCAGAATGGGCACCCATGTCACTGCACTGGCCTTGCAGACGTGCTGCAGAGAATTTCTGCATGGATGCTTGCCCGAAGCGGCGAGCGAACAACACAATTAATTTCACGTGAATGTTTTTTGGTCTTCATTCCTGGCAAAACAAATCCGCACGAGATTCACCACGCAATCCGGGACGAAATTCTCCAGGGCACCCCGGGCCCACCCTATCGTTTTCCGAACGAAATCTGCTCTGCGATGTGGGCGCCATGATCCATGGGGCCGCGGTGCCACGCCGAAGACGGCGATGAGGAGGTAGTTGGCTGTCTCAGCCAACCGAGCCTCCAAGGACCAGTTGCGGGACGCTCCGCTGCGGCCTCCCCGGGAGGGTCGGCCGCCGCGAGCCCCCATGCCGGAAGAGGGGATGTTTGATCCTCCACCGCGCACTTGAGCCAACACCAGCAGCGCGACAAAAAAAACTAGGAGCCAATCCGCATGCATTTTTAGTGTCGCGCCGCATTTGGATTATCCCCCCTCTCCGAAGTTCATGCAAACGCAGGTTCGCACCGCAGTCCCCTCGTGACGTTTACCCAGCCGGACACCAGTGACCTTTTGGAGGCCCCTGGAGGCCCTCGGAGGTCACTGGCCAAAGGTCCCTGGTCAACAGGAGGCGGGGGGGGGAAACGCAACATGTCCTGAGAGGCTCTTCTGTGTACGTTGAAAAACGAACATGTGATCCCACTGTGCTCTGGAAGCGCTCTTCCAGAGCACGTTGACATGACAGCTAAACGATTGACCACGCACGGACACCTCTCGCATGATGCTGACGCTAGGCTCCACAGCCTGTCCGAAGCCTCGCGAGTGGTGGCTCCCTGGGGCGCGGGAGCGTGCGGATCGACAAACAACAACAAAATCCGCCGACCTTGTGGGTCTCCGGGCGTGTGAGATAGTTCCCCCCCATAACCCCCCCCAAGGGACCCCAAACCGGAAGTTTGACCCCCCCCCCTCACCCAGGACAAGCGCACCACGAAGCTTTTCCGGGCCCAAGGGGGCCTCAAAACGGGCCTAGAAAACCCCAAGAGGCCTCCAAAACGGCCCACGAGGGCCCCGAGACGCTAAACGAGCGCTCCAAGACGCCCTAGCTGGGCCAAAGATGGGCTCAGAGGCCTCCAGGACGACCCAAGAGGTCCCCAAGAGGCCCCAAGAGGCCTCCAAGATGCGTCCCAAGAGGGTCCCTAGACGGAAAAATTTGCCCATTCCCTTCGTAAACCATGCGGTTTTCATACATTCGCCTTCTGGGCTTTCCGATGCTCTCAGACGGCCCAAGCAAGAGGACCCCAATACCGCCCCAAGAAGGCCCAAGGGCCCCAAGATAGCCCAAGCGGGCCCCAAGACAGCCCAAGAGGCGCCCAAGACGGCCCAGGAGGGCCCCGAAGACGGCCCCAAGAGCGCTCCAGGAGCGCTCCAAGTCGCCTCCCAGAGAGCTCAATATGGTCCCAGACGGCCCAAGAGCGATCAAAGACACCGAAGATGGCCTCCAGCGGTCCAAGATGCCCCCAAGAGACATCCAACATACGTCCCAAGAGGGCCTCTAACCGCAACCATTGACCCGTTTCCCTTATGAAACGTACATTTTTCAAACATTCGCCTTTTGGGCTTTCCGACGCTCCCAGACGGCCCCAGAGGCCTCCAAGACCGCCCCAAGACAATCCAAGAAGCCTCCAAGAGGGCCCCAAGACAGCCCAAGAGGGGCCCAAGACGGCTCCAGAGGCGCCGAAGACGGCCCAACAGAGCCCTGAAGACGGCGCCAAGAGCGCTCCAAGAGCGTTCCAACTGGCTTCCAAGAGAATTCCACATGGTCCCAGGCGGTCCAAAAGCGATCAAAGACACCCGAGATGGCCTCAAGATGGCCCAAGACGCTCCCAAGAGGCCTCCAAGGTGTGTCCCAAGAGGGTCCCTAGACGCAGAAGTTGTCTCATCTCCTTCGTAAAACGTATTTTTGTTTACTGTAGCTGGACTGGTGATGTTGTTTGTTCCTCGCGAGCCAAGAGGACCTACGAACATGGCTCCTGTCCTGTCATGCTAAACTGACTCCTGCACAGGGGGGGGTCACCGACCCAAGCAAATACAATGCACAACACGCCCCCTTGGAAGCTCGGCGCGTGTCTAGAGTCGAGCTTTCAACCGACTCCTGAAAAGATAACTAGGCTGGGGCGCCCCCCAGGCAAAATAAGCATGGCCATCCGCGCGCTATACCACAACGGGTCTGAGCATGTCATGAGAAGATTGATGCTATAAAGCATAACATATGGAACGTGAGCTCAGCAAAGCGTAGCCGCGCAAGGTCCCCACCCTGGGCCTCAGTACAAAAACAATCCTCTAGCCTTGGCCTCACTCCCAGCATGCGCCTCAAGGAAGGCACCGTGCACACTGATCGACAATGGCTGGACGCGTGGAGTAGCCCATCTCCACTTGTACGTTGCCTCCGATTGAGTGCCAACCGTCCTCCTCATGCGGTTGCTCTGATCCACCGTCGACTTGGTCGACGTGGAAAACACGCAGCCAATGCCTGAGTCGATCCCTTTGTCCTCCGCGTCATCGGGCTCGGTCTGGGCGAGGAGCCACCCCTGCCCCCCCCCCCCCCCCCCCCCCCCCCCCCCCCCCCCCCCAGCTGGCGCAGCGGAACCCCGCGTAGCCGAAGACGATGGCCACGACCAGCGCCCAGACGACCAGTACCAGCCAGTAACTCGTCCAGTCGCTCGCGACCACGCCGTCCTTGGAGCAGACCTCCGCGCCGTAGTAGCCGTCGTACTCGGCGGCGGGTCCTTCGCACCCCTGGAGGAGCGCTACCGCCGCCGTGATCATCGCCAGGGCCGCTGAGCGCGTCGCACTCGGTGAAGCGGCCACGCCTGGGGCGCGCCGAACCCGAGTCGCCGCCCCCACGGCGGGTTCCACCTCGTCCGGCTGGTGGTCGCTCTCCGCGACCTGGCCCATGTCCGTGTAGATGCCGTTCATCGCCCTGAGCTTGACGAAGCGCTCGTGCCCGAGGATCTTCGCACCCAGATCGGCCTTGTTATCGTCGGCGCCGACGGTCCCGAGGTCCATCAGCTTCCTCTTGATCGCCTCCTGGAGCCAATGCGCACGCGCCTCCAGGCTCCTGACCTTGCCAACTCCTTCACGTTTGGCAATCCCTCGGGCCGCCGACGAGTCCGTCAGAAGAGTGGCCGCCACCGTGAAGCCCATGAACTCCAGGAGCGACTTGAAGTAGAGGAGATCCTCGGCGACTGCCGTCGCCGCATAGTACTCTGCCACTCCCGAGCTGGTCGCCACGATCGCCTGGCGCCTGCTGAAGGAGTGCATGGGGACGTTGTCGATCTCGATCTTGCCGCTCGACTGTGACCTCCTCGTCTGAAGGTCGCCTGCCCAATCGCTGTCGCCGTAGCCCACCAGCTCGACGTTCGTGCCCTCCGTCGGTCTCGGAAGCCAGTTCACCGCGCCCCCCGTGCCCATCAGGTACCTGACCAGCCTCTTGAGTGCGGTGAAGGCACCGACGGTGGGGCCTGACAGCATCCTTCCTAGCAGGCTCACCTCATACTGGCAGTCCGCCCTGTCCTGGGCGCAGTACATCAGCGCCCCCACGCGCGATCGGTAGATGCCAGCCTGAACGGAAGACAGGGCCGAGGTGCTCCCCATGAGCGCCAT